AAATATGAAACATCATAACAGTGCGAAAAATGCAGTTAAGATACTAGGAATTTCGCGACAGCCGTATAAAAAAAACAGTTCATTAGTTTCTGATTTCTTAGCGGTTTTCAGACTATAAGACGGATATCGTAAATATACCTATTATATTTAAAGCAAACAAATTAAAAAATGCTGATCAGTGTGTAGTGAGTTTGCAATCGCGATTCAATTACATGGCCTTCGAACGCCACATCATCAGAAAATGGCCGACAATCCGAATGGGAGCACTGCTCAAGCCATCTATTCGCTAAAATGATCAAATGCATTAATACAGACACGTGCTCAAATAATGAATATATGTTCTAAAAAAATGTGATTATCCCTTCAAGATATGTGGTTTCTTGAATTCATTAGCGTTTTTACCACCAAAAAATACTTTTGTAGAAGTCTCTTAAATAGTAGTACATCTTTGAATGATGACAGAGCTTTCTAACAATCTAAGTTCTATTGAATAGGTACCAAGTTATTACTGGAGACGCGCTAGTCTTCATGCGTGTGCACGAGATCGACACACATGCATGGAAATTTATGCATGTCGTACTGCGTGTGTTGTCGTAGCTCACTGATATATGAGTCTCGATGTAATGGTGAAGAAGAGAATGTATGCTTCAAGAAAGGTCACGTCTCATAGTACTATCACGCAAAATCTGAAGAGAAGTAGGTCGAGATGGATAGCATACGATACTTTTCATGGAATTCTGAACGAATCATTCCGTTTTTCTGACGTTACAGTGCGAAAATGAGCACGTTCTATGAACACAAAATCTTCTACAGTGTAGCCTCTCGTTTACTCAGACAATTTAGTTTGACTGTAAGTTTTATCGCTTCACACTATGAACCACTAAACTTGTACATGTCACGCTCAGATGGCAGACACTTATCTTCACATTGATGACGTCTTTTATAAGATTGCTTGTTTCCTTTTGTTGAGATTACACTAGGAGGGGTTATAACACCAGAAATGTGGAAGCTTTGCTGAAGCATATTTATCTTGAGTTAAGTCGCTTTTTCTATGAACAACATGGCATTAGCTCAATCATCAAAGAAAATATTATGAAGCAGTGAAACTGATTTTGAAGCAAAATCGCTTATGATAGTAACAAACGGCGTGGCTTTCTCTCATGGATTGAGGCGAACAACTGGAACTGTGATAAAATCTCCAGTTTTCCATGATATTGTCCACTGATATGACTTGTCTTGACCAAATTAAGCCGAATAATTCCTCAAACGTAAAACTTCCACAAGCGTAAAATTGGTTTTTTATGCTGAAAAATACCCAAAAAATTGACACATATTCATTCTCACTACCAAGTGGTGACAGATAAAAGCTTCAGATCACTGTTGCAGTTCGATGCTGTTCCAAGTATTATCTTGAATCAAACAACATTTCCGAAACAAAATCCATTAGATTTGAATGTGCGTCTAAATTAAATTTGGGTGCCTACAGAACATATTAATGATAAACCTTGGCTTTGACAGGGCTAATTGTAGAAAATCATCGAAATCTAAAAAAAACTGAATTTGTACTTAGCCTGCAAATGGTGATATATTATCTTATGAAGATCACAGTATGTGGTAGTACCTTTACTACTACTACTAACTGAAGGGACATCGCAGTAAAAGCCAACTGATGAAAAAAGCACCGCTGCCGTTAACCAGCTTTTAGAAAATACGACGAGGTCATGGCCCCTACCTACTATGTGTGCACGACGTTTCAATAAAACATGAGCTGATTCGCGATCGACGTCTTACATCTTAATGGGTTACAGGCATCTAAAACACGTGTCTCATCGGAAAAAGTAATCGGGTGTTCTAAACTACCAGCTCGATCCTCATCATTTCTGTGGTTATATATCTTAAAAAAATATATTTCACAAGGTTTTGACATATTATATAAATGCGATCAATCATATTTACTCCGTCGGGCCAGGCGAAATCAACGGCGCAGCGAGAGGATCAAATGTTGATAAATGGTTGCTGATCTGTTTCAAGCTATTATCAGAGAAATACAAAGTGCAGCAAAACGACCAGGTCACTCTTATCTCAAATCTTTTAACATCAGGATCTCTTACGAAATTTTGGCGAAATCGCGTAGGAAATAAAATTCTTAACGAATAATTTTAACAATAGTCACAGATATGTAAAAATTGGGATCGGTAGAAGCATGAAGAATATTCTGGAAATTACCCAAGTTCAGAAAAGCACCAGATTTGTCTTTGAATGTTCTCTGAGCTGACATCATTCTTCTCATCTATGTCTTTCTCATTTTTATTGCACAATTTATCTAGAGGACCATTGTTAAAGCATGCAGATTCAATGGGTGAACTTGGCATCATGCAGATTTTGGAGGCCAAATTTTACGAATATTTGCATGCTCACTGCTTTTCAACGTAGGAGAGTATGAAGTGATATTGAAGGTCGAACGGAGTATCGTTGGTGAAGATGACCATTCTCGTTGTCTGGGACGGAATCGTGTACTTGTGAGTCATTCCAAAGCATCTCAACTGGTGTCACCCTTAGCAACATTGTGGTTCGTACTTGTTCATGCGTTTCTCTTCTGAAGAATTCTGAATAACGGCATCATGAATAGCTAATCCGTTAAGAAGTGTTTGAACTAGCCATGTTATTAGTCTTATTCTTTGTTTGGAGAAATATACAGCACAAATTATTGCATGTCCAGAGCACTAACACCTTAGATATAGTTAAAGCAGTGCTGCGGCATGCAGGTTGTGTTCGCGAAAATGTTGATCTTTTTCGTAAAGGGTCATCTATAAAGTGACACCAAGTTTTGAAATTGCATATTCTTTCGTTTCTACTGTTTTCTTGAGACCACGCTCAGATTTTTATAATTACTCATTGCACATATACGTTTGGAGTCGCGTGACGCAGTGATTATGTATTGATGCTCTGCGTCGCGCACAGGATCAATGGTTCGATCTCGAGCTTTCGACTCGTCGGCCATGCATTTCTCGCGGATCATTAAATTGGTCCCGAAAATATCCCACACTTGTCTTAGAGGATAGCAGCATTGACTTGGCACATCAGGAGGTTACAGTGAGTCATTGTCAAGGCCAGATATGCCTTCAACCACCTCAAACGATGTTGGATGAGGACGAATACGTTGTGCACACCTCAGAGATAAATTAACACAGATAGCTTTGAAGGCATTTGTGGAATTGCTTCAAATCGTATGGAAGTCCGATGGCTCGCGTATTTTTACTGCAATTCCCATTCAATATCATTAAATGTGTAATCTCTAATTTCAAGGTGCATCAAAGGCTTCGAACGAATCGAAAATACTTTATCATAAAAGCATGAGTTGAGGAAGCTATCAAAGCAAGGATAACTACTTCCAGCGAGAGATTTCGCAAGGTGAGTATTTCTCGACAACTGCCTGATTCATTTGCTCTTAGCGTTGCTTTGAATGTAAGTGACATTTTCATACAAAAATACAATTGTTGTCAGTGAGAAAACATTGTGCTTCAAACCTCACCGGATAGAGCTCTTTCTTTAGACGATAATTAATCATCTGCAAGCGTAATATTTTATGATTCTTGGAATATGCTTACTTTCTGGAGTTACTCTTCAGCAATGAAAATAAGACTGAGTTTTACATTTTTATTAACGCTGTTACTGACTATTCAATAAGACTATGGCCGTATCAGGGAGAGTGGCAAGGGATGGTGAAGGCGAAACAATCTATATTTTGTTCTTCAGTCGAGAATTCTTCTACCTTTTCGAAAGAAATTCCGTATAGAAGAATGATTAAGATACTACGGAAATTTCTCTATACATTGATATAACTTTCCGCATCCAGCGAATTATGCGCGTGATAAAAATGAAGGCGAAACGCAAGTGTGAAATTCAATTTTAAATCTGGACGCTACAACGTTATAAAAAAGTGTCTTGCTACATCATCCCAAAGGGTTGTTTCGAAAAACCGACAACGTGGAACTGTAGCTTCAATTCTCAGCTTTCAGGTAGTTACTAGCACTCCTATGAAAAGCTCCTCTACAGCAATTGAGTTTAGTTTTTCATTTGTTCCTTTCTAGGCAGGAACAACCAGCGCAACATATTGAAGCCAGGAATGAAGTGGCTAGTAAAACTGACCAAATGTGTGCATGGTTCATTCGTTCATGGTTGCTTTACAACTCTATCTAACCCTGGTATCCACTCAGTATGTAACGAAATAAAAAATTCTATCGAAATTTGTTTCATTAATGTTTGAGCATTCACAGGTTCAGAAAGCAGGCACGTATTATTTGAGTTTTAACACCATGTCATGATTATCGAGGTGAAATTTTCAGTATATTCACTGCATTTCTCGAGGGGTTATTATTACAAACCAAAAAAATTAAGTAGTAGGCAAAAACACGGCCTCGGCGGGAATCGAGCTCGCGTTTTATCCATGCCAGGGACGTGCGTTACAACCACTACACCAGTGATGTACATTTGCGGATCCACTCATTATCCAACAATTCTATGTTAGCTATCAGCCACCAATCTTTAACAGGCTTTGTGGGTTATGCGATTTCGCTTTATAAACCCAGTTGAGCTCGCAGCCACTGTAATAACTAATACTCGTCATTTTCAGTATTTTTTCTGAATTTTTCGCAGTGTTCTCAAGCTTCATACATACTAATAGAGTCGAGTGGTGAGCAAAAACACGGCCGGAACAACAACGGATCAAACCCGCGTTTCATCCGCACCGGGTACGCGTGCTACTGCCACTGCACCACCGAGGCACATTTCCGCAGAGGAAGGTATACATGAAACATAATATCCCTGCGAAAAATGCAGTGAAAATACAAAAAGTTTCGAGTTATAGTTATTACAATTAATGTCACCTCAACAGGGTTTATAAAGCGAAATCACATTAACCGTCCTAGCCTTTCAAGGGTTCGTGGCTGAAAGCTAACCTAGATATGTTGAAGAATGAGTGACGGTGCAAATGCGCCTTTGCGGTGCAGTTTTAGTAGCACGCGTCCCCCGAATGGATGAAACGCGGGTTCCATTCCCGCCTGAAACCGTTTTTTGCCTACCACTCAGTCCTCTTAGGTATATATCAAGTTAAAACGAAATTATCGAAAACACTGTTGTCTGAAGTAGAAGTTGTTCTTCCAAAGTATCGCCTAAATGACGACCGTTTTGACAAGGATATAACATGTTTTTATCCGTGTTTAAGTACTATAAAAACACCTGTTTCGTGCCACCGCGACTAATCAGAAGCATCGTCCATCGGTTCAGCCGATCCCTCAACGCTGTAGTCCTCTATGAATGAGTCGACGCAGAGTAATAAATCATCACACGTCAGATTATGGGGGCACCTGCCATTGTAGTGATCGGTAGTCGAGCTTGTGGCTTCTAAAAGCAATGACACTACCGCTTTTTTATAGACCTAGCTCAAACAATATTAAGGTGAAGTCTAAGAAAAGGGCATGAGAAAGCGGTCGAATGAAGAGGTACGGTTCACTTTCTAAGAAGCAGACTCGACTGCCGGTCATTACAGCATTCGATGCTTCTATTATCTGACTTGTGGTGATTTATTTCGGCGTCGATTCCTTCATAGAGGAGTATAGCCTCAAACGATCGGCTTAAGCAAGAGTCCTTGCCACCGATGAGTTCCAGTAGGAAGAAACAAGCTTCTGTATAGCACTTAGACATGATTCAAAATATTTATGATCCTCTCAAATTAACATTGTTTTAGTTTTGCCTATGAAAAAGCAGTAAAATGAAGAGAGACGACCGTTTTGTTAAAATTTTCATAAGGAATCGTTAATCTTTGACATAATCTGTGTCAAAAGGATATTTCGCTGGTCGTGAGGAATTTTTATCTGTACGCTTTGTGGAGGATTAGGTTTGCTACATCATTTACGACTCGAATTCCAATAGTCCGTGGTTTTGAAAAAAAAATTTTTCTGCCTTGTAGTAGCAACAAAATGCGAAGTTTCGCTCAGCGAGCGACATCAGGTTCGAGCCACCACTTTTTGGCAGTATGTGCATAAGATTTCGCTATATGGCGCCAAGGCTGTATGCTTTTCCCCAACCTTTCTGGCACAATTGTTCAGATCGTAACATGCCACGTTTCTGTTGGATCATGACTGCTTGTTGGCACATAAAAGCTCATATTTGTGGGAACTCGATAAAAGTCAGCAAAAAACAATTGAAAGTCAATAAATGTGCAGTGAATTGGTGTCGACTGTTGCAAAACTCTATTCGCATACAGGGAAAAGGCATGCTGGTTTGACTTCAATCTTACAAAATCTTATTTACATACCGCCAAACTGTGACGACTTGAAGCCGATGTCGCGCTGCGTGAAACTTAACATTCTTTTTTAGCTGCTCCAGCGTAATAAGATATCCATTCCAAAAACCAAGAAAATTAATTGAGTCGACATAATTAAAGCCACCAAATAATTGCTCAAATTCTGAAGGTCAATTGTTGTTCAGAGAGAATTATCTGATTGAGAAACAAAATTTCATTTTTGCCTTTTCAGCATAATAATGTGGGAGTTTCGAAGATAATTACGAAGTATGATTTGTTTGATTTAAGCCGTTAAACAGTTTATAATATTCAGAACAATCAGAAAAATATAATTTTTCTGGAGCATCGAATCAAGCTGCGGATAACGCAATCAATCCAGTTTCGTAAAACGTAATCCTCTCTTGGTCGTCACAGTGCCCTAAGAAGTCCGTTTAAAAACCAAATAAATTATTTGAACTATTGAAATCTGGTTTGTCGACTGGTTACTAAAATTCTAAAGAAGTAGTTTTGCTTAGCGACAGATGTTTGAATGAGAAGCAAAACTTTATTTCCGTTGCTTCCTCAGCAGTAATGGAGCTGTTTTCAAAATAGAATACAACGTTAGAATTTATCTTGATTATACTGTCGAACAACTATACAACCTTTAGTAACAACCAAAAATACGTTTATTTTGAGTGGTCGAAGCAGGACCACGGATAACGAAAAAACCTTATGTTTTATAGAACTTCGATAGTTGGTTACTACTTAGAGATGATGAGAAACGACAATTGTAGAGGTACACTGTTGAATCGTCATAGTTATCGATAATCGAACATCTTTAAGGTTTCTTTACAATGTTCTGGATTGTTTCACAAGTAACAATTGCTATGAGTTAGAAAATTCGATATTTGACGGAAAACTGATAATTATTGAACTCATGATTTCGCGTGTAGCGTACAACCTTGTTGCGACATGCTTTTCAGGTAGAAATACAGAAAACGTCGAACTATCGTAGATAGCGCTGAAATGAGTGAACAATGGCCTTTAGCTGCATGTATTTAATATAGTATTATAGTATTTTGTCAAACCACACTTACATTTTATTGCCATTTAGTACAATTACAGTCCAGCACTAATCCTATCATTCGAGCACACTGACCACATGGCGTCATTTCTCAACAGATCTTTTCGCACACGAGAGCTAGACCGGAGGTTTTCCTTTGAAAAAACAGAATCGGAACTTTACCTGCTTTGGCGCATGGGTGACCTTTTCTCGGGAATGTGCAGGCATGTCATCCACTCGTCGTCTTCCTGTCTCACAATCATCGTCCGTGATAATGATTCACCACGTGCACGGCTCACGAGCTCTGATGATTCTTTACTCCATGATTCTCTATTAGATTTCAATACAATTTACTTATTTCGGACCCGAATCGCTTAGGTTACCTTTTGCAACATTATTATCAGCCTTCCGCACCAGAGAACCGGTCCTATATCCAAGTTCATCTTATGTTATGAAGTCGCTGATCCTGCGATTGGAGGACGTGATTTTCAGAGCTCGGAAATTCGTGAACTGGTTTGCTGCTGTATATGCCTCTCATATTCCCAAAAGGCATCATTCAAGCACAATGAATAATGTGCACAAGGCTTCACGTCGTTCAGAGGCCAACTATGGTTGAGTTCTGAGAAGAACAATATCTCAATCAAATACGCATCGAGATCTGAAGACTATCAGTGTTATAAGTTGCCTCTTCCATCGCTCTTACGCATCATCACTTATCTTCACTGACAGCATTTTCTAGTTTCAATATTGCAGCTGCTTCGATGATGTCAAGCGTGATAAAACGATGCAAACTTTCGGCGTTGATCATTCCTTGAGCGATGCGTCATGCATGCGACTTCACCTAGCATCGTTAGTGCTTCACCTGTATCACCTGTCGTCCCGTTGATCGTCGAGTGACTTAAGCGGGTAACAGCAACTCTTCCATTTTTCCCCATCGCGTGCAAGAGTAGCCCAGTGGGTCCTCCTCGCTCTAGGAATTCGCTGAGCATCATATCTTTCTTCCATCGCTTTCGTGAAGAAATCGGACCAACGGGTCAGTGGTCTTCCTTTAGAGCGCTTGACGTCCCGAGGAATCCAGTCGGTAACGGCTCTCGTCCATCGGTTGTCGTTGAAGCGCATCACGTGTCCAGCCCACCTTATTTTCGATATCCTGGCGTGTAGAACGGCGTCTCTGATTTTCGATCGTTGACGTAGGTCGGAAGTTCGGATCCTTTGTCTCATTTGCAAAATACGAGATACTCCTAGCATCGACCTTTCGACTGCGCGTTCGATAACGGCAAGTGATCTTTCATCCTGCTTACGTAGCGACCAGGTTTCTGCTGCATACGTTAGGGCAGGGATAATTGTCGAGTCGAAAAGGTGGGCACGGAGTCGGATGTTCTTTGTCCTCTTCACTACATCTTCGATGCTCTTAAACGTTCCCCAAGCCGCTCGTTTCCTCCTGCTCAACTCTGGGGCTAGGTCGTTCATCATGTTGATTTCACGACCTAGATAGATGTAACTGGAGCATTCGGAAATTGTCGTTCCGTTGAGAGTGAATGGGGCATTAGAAACCCATCCGTTCCTCATGAACATTGTTTTCGTTAGATTCAGTTGAAGACCGATCTTTCCACAGGCGTTATCGAAATCAGTCAACATTCGTTCCGCTTGGTTGATGTTCGGTGTTATGAGAACGATATCGTCAGCAAAGCGAAGATGGTTTAATGCTGTTAGTGCTTATGGAAGAATATATGGTGTTTAAAATGATTCTAGGTGGCCTTCCATGTATTGAGTGAGGGTTGCCATTTTCCCAGACATATCCGGCATCTATTTGCCGACTCAAGTGGGACCAGAAGTGGTGAGCCTCCAGCGCGAAGTCAAATCTCTAATCATGTATGCGTCGTAGGACACCTCTAATCAATGAGCCCATGGCCCCATTTGCTCGTGTTATGTTGTCAAATGTGATATCACTTCAATTTTTTGTGATTGAGATGAGATAAAGCCAAACTCTCCTCTAAAAATTTTCTAAAACAGTGTCGAGTTTGGCGGACATAATCGTTTTTTATGCCCCAAAACTCTAACGTGTAGAGGCATTGGTGTCCGATGTATTATACAATACATGAATGATCACTGCTTCGGCTCACTTTCTCGACTACTTATCCCCTTAAGTCGATAAAATCGTTGAATAGAACATTGACCTGTCCGAAAGGACCATTCAATCTTTACTGCAATGCTACTAGTGAAGTCAAATTCGTGGCTCATCTGAAAAGGATTGATAAATGTTAAACACATTATTATTTGTCTTTTTTGTTCAATTCCACGCGCAGTATCATAAAAAATCATCATACCATCAGAAGCACTCCAGCCTCACACAGTTGGCCTTTCTTTTCGAATGTTGTTTACATCACAAATCACTATTATCACCTATCATTTACGCATCGCTATCAAACTTTCTAATCCTTTTTGCTGATGGTAAGATTCATTTCTCTTTTTGCAACTGCATCGAACAGCGGACTACATACGAATGGATGTGAGTTTGTACTCTAATCAACTTTCAGCAACGATGCGCTACCATCCTCTTGAAAACGTCATGATGATATACAAAGGAGAGATATAGATTGTTTTGCAGTTCTCACAGCTTAGCGCTCCTCCTAATGAAGCAATTTTGCAGGACGAACAACGTCTTTATCTCGATTTGCTCGAGAAAGGAGGAACACCATCTGCGATAGTGAGTGTACTTCTT